TCTCTCTCTCTCTCTCTCTCTCTCTCTCTCTCATATATATATACATATATACATATATATATATATTATAATATATATATTATAATAATATATTTATTGAGCCGCTTCCTGGTACATTGCAATGTTTATGTATTGTACAATATTACTTTTATGCTTCATAATCCCTAAATTGACTCTGTATCATTGTGAAGCTGAACATAAAGTATAATAATGATCATTATTTGACAATCTGTGTACACTGGGGCAATCTATGTAGGCTGGAGCAATCTATGTCAGTTGGCAGATATGTTTATCACAGTCCACTTAACTGTTTTTTTCCTCAATCTGTGGGACTATTTAAATTGACGTAACTTAAGCCCGTTCTCCACGGTCGTGGCTTTACTCAGCTCGCATTGACTCAGCATGAGCAATATGTGTCTCCATTTCTTGTCCCTGCTTGGTTTTTGGATCCACCTCAGCCGTGGTTCCAAGTGAGCTGTGCTGAGCAAGCAATTTTGACGTCAGCAAACTGCAGCCATCGATTGGCCCCCATGTATAGACGTCCCTGGATGAGCCAAGGCGGTACTTGCAAACTCCTCCTGAAGTGTCATTTTCAATCTAATCGTTGAGTGTACGCGTACGTTGCTGAGATTGGCGAGCAGCATATCAGGTTATTCTAAAAAAAATGAAGTCAGACTATTGTACAACATAGCCGTATTATTAGCATGTTTGCTAAAAAGCTACTTCGCAACATATGCTAGCAACATGCTAGTTAGCAAAGTACGCTAGGCCCGGGTTACCGCCCACCGACGATCCTGTTCACGATGCACTCTCAATGGAGACACACCTACATTCGAGTAGAACCAAATAGAAACGAAGCGATTAGAGTGGTAATTGAAGCAGCTTTTGTAGAGACAGCTCAGAACGGGCAGACTACAACTAGCGTTTTGACTTCCTGTGAAACTAACTGTTCTCTCATTTGCCGGCAATTTAAAGATTTGATGAAGACTACACCTGATTGAAGGTGAATCAGATTTTTTTTCTACGACAAATGTCTCTTCATATTTTTTAAACAGCTGCGTCAGAGTGTAAATGGTGACAGAAGAGCTGAGATCAGATCATTTACTTAACAGACAGTGAGAATTTGATGCAGAAGGAGCCGATAAGACACAATATGAAGAGGTTTGAGGAATAAATGAATTGTTATGAGGCAGTGCTTTGCCAGGCAGCGTGATCAGAGTACTGATATGAAACCTGTTATCCTTTGTCCCACTTCTGGGACGTCTGGCACAGGACTTCAAAAAGAGCACATGAAGGTGAAACAACAATAGTTCATTTGCCAAAAACTAGAGATTCAGAAAACTGAACTCTGCTCTGATGAACTCATTTAGCTGTGACAGACAGTCCCATTTTTGGGAAGGTTTTTTTTTTTCGTGTTCACATTAGATTTGCTAATGAGATCCATCTGAAGACTCATCTAATGGGTTTAACTCTGAGGTGATAAGTTTAAAGTAATTAATCTAATCACATGTGTTGTGTTGGATCCTGCACCAATGAAAGGCTCTGCTGGTGTCATAGATGAGCCTTCTCTGCGTCATCTCCTGCTTTATTCTCATCTTCTTCATTAAAAGGAGGACAAATATTCTTTAGGGGGTAGTTTGTTGGAAAAACGCTCAGACAGTTGTGTCTTCCAGAATGAATTATTTTTTGCAGGAGTCACTGATTTTCAAGCCAGCTGCCCTGCTGACTGATGACCTGCTGTTCACTGGCAGACTGGCTGAGAGAGTGACTAAATGTGTGGGCAAGTGGCTGTGCTCGAAGCGTGGGCCGTCATGTGCTACTGCATTCATTAATACACAACACCCGTGAAGCTAAACGATGAGATTACAGGTTAAAGACTATTAAGATCTTATTCACCCGTCCAGTTGGAGGCTCAATATTTTTATCTTTCCACTAAACAGAGTTACACCTTAGGACAAAATATTGAACCAATTACTAATTTATTTCCACCTTTCTGTTT